GTTGACCGATTAAATAGGTCAATGTCTGATCCTTACCTGCTCCTTCCTCAATATTAAGTATTATAATAAAAAGAAATATAAACTCGACCATGTCTCTCATACCATTCCTCACCACCTTCTATATCAACATATATAAGCTTAATACTGCCCATCAAAACTGTAAATTTTGAATTCATTTTTGGTTTCACCTTTTGAAAAAAAGTCTGAAGATCCAGAGAAAAATAAAATTCTCTGTTGAAATAAATTATTACAAATGGAGCCTTAAAGTGATCTGTTATTTTTAAATTATATATATATATATATATATATATATATATATATATATATATATATATATATATATATATATCTGTTTATCTATCTATCGAAGTTTATATATCTAAGTCTATTATCTAAGTCTATCTATCTATCTGTTTATCTACCTATCTATCGAAGTCTATCTAAGTCTATTTATTATCTAAGTCTATCTATCTGTTTATCTATCTATCGAAGTCTGTCTGTCTATCTATTATTTATTTATTGTCTATCTATCTGTTTATTTATCTATCGATGTCTATTATCTAAGTCTCTCTATCGGTTTATCTATCTATCGAAGTCTATCTAAGTCTATTATCTAAGTCTATCTGTTTATCTATATATCGAAGTCTATCTGTCTATTATCTATTTATTGTCTATCTATCTGTTTATCTATCGATGTCTATCTATTATCTAAGTCTCTCTATCTGTTTATTGATCTATCGATGTCTATCTAAGTCTATTATCTAAGTCTATCTGTTTATCTATCTATCGAAGTCTATTTATTATCTAAGTCTATCTATCTATCTGTTTATCTATCTATCGAAGTCTATCTGTCTATTATCTAAGTTTATCTATCTGTTTATATATCTATCGAAGTCTATTTATCTGTCTATTATCTAAGTTTATCTATCTGTTTATCTATCTATCGAAGTCTATCTGTCTATTATCTAAGTCTATCTATCTATCTGTTTATCTATCTATCGAAGTCTATCTGTCTATTATCTAAGTCTATCTATCTATCTATCTGTTTATCTATCTATCTATCGAAGTCTATCTATCTGTCTATTATCTAAGTTTATCTATCTGTTTATCTATCTATCGAAGTGTATTCAGTTTCTGACAGCTGACCTCTGCTCTATTACTTGTACATCTCAATGGTGAAGGAACTGGCTTGGATGATTCAATACCTCTAAAGCTAACCCACTAATGTTTCATTATCACAGTACATATTCTGAGTTTTCTCTAATCATGATCAACATTTGTATTCTCAAGGAGCTTCTTTGCATGGAACGTCTATTCGGATTCAAACTCATACCGAACTTCAAATGGTTCTCGGATATGCCATTCATCGTAATGATGCTAGAAAGGCGTTCGGGTCTTTTTTTATCGCACCAGAATATACCTGGCACCTCCTGCCTTGCTCTCTCAAGATCCAAATCAGTCCAAAAATGAAGCTGCTCAATCCTCACTTTCCAGCCTCGACCAAATTCAAATGTGTACACGCCACCTTATGGATGATGAAATATTTTGCCACCTTTCAACCCATATTCTGCCGATGAAATATCGCTAGCCTCTCGCTACTGTATCACTATTTTCAAGTTAGAGGTTCGGGAAAACTAGGTTATAGACCTTCACAGCTTCCCTGGTTCCACCTTCATAGTTAGGACACATTATGCCGCGTACACTGAGCCGAATTATCTTTATTCTCTCTATATTTTAGGGGAGGTTTAAAGTCTATTCAGAAGGCTTCTTTCTCAGAACTGTAGCAATATAAGACTGACTCCCAAGAGGATACTTCCCTGATCAATACAATCTTAACCACTTCAAGTCGACGGTCAACCGTTATCTATCTTGCATAAAAAAACAAATAGATAATTTTCATTTTATCTGATTCTAATGGGACGGATTTAGATATTTATCAACAAGTTTGGCTCCATATGATATCCATATGAAAGTCTCGAATTGATGAGGTTATTTAAGAATATGACTGTAGTATTTTTGTTTTTGTTTTTTGTTTTTTGGGATGGGGGTAGCAATTTGCAGTGCTGGGAAAAATATCTCTAGAGCAGTGTATTCTATGCTCAGTCTCCCTCTGGGTCAAACATATAATCGAGTCCAGACTAGAATATTGGATCCCGTGGTCGTAAACAAGAAAAAAAAACGTCATACAGTTGATTTCACTGTTTCAACGATGCTCATATCAAATCCAAAACAAAGTGAAAATATAGATAAGTATCTCAACCATGTCAAAGAATTCAGAAATTGCGGATAAAGACAGTCGTTATCAATTGTTGTCAGAACACCGGAAGCGTTTACGAAGTGTCTAGGGAAATGACTTGCAGAATTGGAAATCAAGAAAAGAGCCAGGATTATCCAAATCACAGCATTACTGAAAAACTATCAGAAAACTAAGAAGAGTGCTAGAATATTGTAGAAGTGATTTGCTGTCACTTGATCGTCAGCTTCACTCACTTGTCCCTTACTAATAAATAATATAAATACTAATAAATAATAATTTATGTAATACTAAACCATCCATAAGTGATAGATAATAATAAAATATTCAAATTGTTTTTATCGAGGCTTGGCTGCCATCAGGCAACACTCCCTAATGATGTTCATTTGAATTGAAAGGATAAACTATTGAGACAAAACGTCTGGCTTCGTCACAGTCTGCAAGACAAATTTGTGATTAGTATTATTAATGAATGGGCATTAGGTGGTGGGGGGTTGTGACTATGAGGAAAAAAGAAAGAAAGAATTGAAGCGAAACATCGAAAACGGCAAAAAGACGAAGAATAAAAATATCGTTATCTTTATTTAGCACTCATTTCAGAATTATTTGTCTTTTTTAATATTTTTTTAATTTTTTTCTAAATGTTCGTTTTTAACATTGTAAGATCCGCGTGTCAAGGTTGAAGGTTAGTATAACAAATCTCTTAATCTGTTTAATTCTAATTGTTTGGCAATAATTTTCCGTAAATATATTGATAAGGTTCCATTACAGTTGTTTCTCCCCTCTGTCAGCTGTCATGTTATGGCAGAGAAAAGATATCTGAGGATTTGACGTGGGGGGGGGGAGAGAAATAGATTCATGCCTTTGCTAAAGAGAATTAGTGCTAATAAAACAGCTAAGCACAATATTCAAACTCGCTTTTCCGATAATGATTTCCGTGCCAACCTATATGTCAATATGTTTAGATAGATAGATAGATAATAGACTTAGATAGATAGATAGATAGATAGATAGATAGATAGATAGATAGATATTGAATAGTTTTCAACAGATAAGAAACAGATAATGAATAGTTTTCAATAGATAGATAGATAGTGTTGTGGTAGGATCCACCTAATTTGCATAGTGGAGTACCGACCATATAAATATGGTTGGTACCGGGAAGAGAGGGAGGAATCCAGAGATTCAACCAGAGACTCTGCCCGACTGCGACTCAGTCAACACATTCTCCAGGAACGGTCTTACCAGGAATATACAAAAGACTATATGTAAATATTGTGTACACTTTCTTGTTTCAATACATTTTGTTCTAAGTACCTTTTGTGTTGCATTATTATTCCATGCACTAGTCAAGTTTCAACAGATAGATAGATAGATAGATAGATAGATAGATAGATAGATAATTCAACAGATAAGAAATAGATAGATAATGAATAGATAGATAGATAGATAGATAGATAGATAATTTCGAAGAACTTATTGGATTGAATATATAATCCGACATTATTTTTCGTTACTTTATGTGCCGAATGGTGCATTTTCATTGTTAAGACTCACGAATGTACAATTTTATTTTTGTTTTTGTTTTAGTTTACCGGCATACCAGCGCCTCTACGGGTTCTTTAATGCCAAAATCGAAATATTTTGAACGCAATTTATGGTTTCATCTAAATATACATTGAATGCAATTGTATACCTTCAACTACAGATAAAATTTATTATTGGCCGTTTTGCTATAAGATGTATTGTTAATAATTCCACTATAAATAAATATGGTTTTTATTTTCTTTATATAAAAATGTATTACTAATATTTTTTACAGTCGACCTGGGAACAACAGAAATTAAGAGGTGATTCCACGCTCCTCAAGACCTCCAGTCTCTCGATCAGAGTTCTTGCTGCCGGGTGTAGTTTATCATCATACAAAGAACTTCTAATGCAGAAGCAGGTAGACAAATGATATGTCCCGGAAATGGATATAATTGTTCGAAGTAGCAAAGTGGTTGTTGACTACTGTAACCGGGTAGGACAATCTAGCAGGTAACCGTAATGGACTGGTCCTCGTCGTAGTGGTAGACAATAGGCGTAGGCAATAGGCGAAGACTATAGGCGTAGCCAATAGACGTAGCCAATAGGCGTCATCAATCGGTGTACCTTCACATCAGTCTGTATTTATGTCTGACACCAGCTAATCATATTACTGTGAGGGGGAACCCAGGTGTATGCATATTCATTACATCAACAAAATAAAAGTAACAAGAAATAGATTTGCGAACAATCGATGAAGCTGACATCGTGCAAAGAAACACGAATCATTTGATAATGACAGAAGAAATCAGAAAGACATTGTAGAATTTATTTTTAAATTGACACCAGAAACCATGAAATTGGTCTGAGATATTTTTTTAAAACTAAACAAAATATCCTATTTCGTTGGTCCTTAGCCAAATTTGCATAAATTAAAAATTACTGTCCAAATACCTGTAACTTGTAAATCCCATTGCCGGTACCCTAATTACGTCTTCTCTTTTACCACTGCTTCAGTCCCTCTTGACATGGATTCGACGATATCATAGAAGCACTATTTCTAAATTTGGGTCCATGCTGTTATCATAGCATCCTGCAATTCTGGATTAGTTGGCTGTTCATCAATGTTTCGATTTCTCCTTTTTCAAACCTATCCCAAAGATTGCATCTATGGGATTGAAATCCGCTAACCGTAGAGGTTCTGTCACTATTTTTTTTTTTTATTTGTGACACGGTGCATATAATTGGCCGGCAGGTGGGCATGATATATTTATAAAATGAAGTAAAAGCTGTAATACCTCGGTAGGCTGCGGTATTTCCCCAATGAATGCTAAGAAAATATTCACCATGACATCATCAGCAGCAGCCTGAACTACAAAACAGACATTAGTCCTGAATACTGAATACCTGAATGATCAACTAAATCCGGTAGCGAGACCTCTGAGCGCACATTGAAGGTTTTAAGGAGCACGAAACCAACTCTTAATTACTTTTGTTCCCAGGTCCACTCGGGGTGGTAGTACCTGTTAGGGTCCTAACTATGGGTAAATAGCGAACTGCGAAAACAAAAACAAAACACTATGAAAGTATAAAATGCATATTTAGAATAAAGATACCAGCAATACATATTTATGGTAAAATTAGCAGCAATACAATTTGAAAGCAAAATGACCTGCAATACATTTAATAGTAGAATTATAAACAATACATTTTATAGCAAAATGACCACCAATACATTTTATCTGTAGTTGAAAAAATACATTTGCTTTCAAAATATATGTACTTGAAGCCATAAAGTTGTGTTCAAAATATTTCAATTACATGACCCATGATAAGTTGATATACCGTTAAACAAAGTAAAATGGATTCATAATTTTATTACTTACATTATTTACATTATTCGGACTGTTATCCTCATCTTCATTGCGATATTCACAACGTTTCGGCCTTCTTCAGAGGATTGAAATTTCGAACCGAAACCTCAATTTCGTCTACATTTCGGGTAGATTGTTCTAGTTCCACGTGTCATGCCTCTTCCGGATGTTTCAGTTATTTCCCTTTAACTCAACTCTTCAAGCTTTTAGGTTCACTACTGCTGTAGGCTGGTATTGAACTCACAGTTCTAGTCACTGTATCTGACGAACGCCTTTATCCACTGGACCATATGCCCTTGAGCACTTGTGAAAAAAAAAACGGTTGCTGAATACATTAGGTTTAGGAGTCCCAGAAATTCATACTCAGATGCACTCAAGGCCCAGTGGATAAAGGCGTTGGTTAGATCCAGTGATTACACCTAATGAGCTGTGAGTT